ATTGATTTTAGGTTTTCTTTCTTTTCTAATATGTGCATTCAGTGCTATGAATTTCCCTATGAGCACTGCTTTCATTGCATCTCACAGATTTTAAGCTGTGGGTTCATTTTTGTTTAGTTCAAAACATTTAAAAATTTCTTATAAGATTTCTTCTTTGACTCATGTGTTATTTAAAAGTCTGTTAAATAATCTCTACACATTTTACAGTTTTCCAGTTATCTCTGTTATTAGTTTCAGGTTTAATTCTGTTGTGTTCTGAGAGCAGACACTGTATGACTTCTATTCTTTTAAATTTGTGAAGGTATGTTTTATGGTCGAGAATATGGTCAGTCTGTGTGGATGTACTATGTAAACTTGAGAAGAATGTATATTTTGCTGTACGTGTGTTATTTTTATGTTAGTCATATGTAATCCAAAATATGTAAGAGCTGAAGAAAACAGCAAGGATTTATTCACTTTAAAAATCTTTCATTGGGGCGCCTGGGTGGCTTAGTCGGTTAAGCGTCCGACTTTCGCTTAGGTCATGATCTCGCGGTTCGTGGGTTCGAGCCCCGCGTCGGGCTCTGTGCTGACTGCCAGCTCAGAGCCTGGAGCCTGTTTCAGTCTGTGACCCCCTCTCTCTCTGACCCTCCCCTGCTCACGCTGTCTCTCTCTCTCTCTCTCTCCTAGAAATAAATAAAAACCTTAAAAAAAAAAATCTTTCATTAAATTTAATCAGACTTCTTTCATAAATAGGATAATTAAAAAGTAAATGTATAATAAAAATAAATAATAATTTTTCTTCATTCTTTTCAATTTATGCTTTTATTAGTATCATCTAAATCTAGGTACTAGACCTTTTTAATAAGAAACAATACACCTTTTCTGAATGTGGCACTAGTAGTAAACCAAATGATGATAAGGAAGTAATTTTAGAGTTACGGACCAAAAGAGTTTGTGCTAGTTTTATTGGGAAGCATTAGTTCTACACAGGCATACCTTGTTTTATTGCATTTTGCTTATTGTACTTTGTAGTTACTGTGTGGTTTCTGTTTCTGTTTCTTTTCTTTTCTTTCTTTCATTTTTTTTTTTTTTTTACAATTTGAAGGTTCAAGACCAGTGGAGGAAGTAACTGCAGATGTGGTAGAAATAACAAGAGAACTAGAATTAGAAATGAAGCCTGAAGATGTGACTGAGTTTTTGAAATCTCATGATAGAATTTTACTGGATGAGGAGTTGTTTCTTACGGATGAGCAGAGAAAAATGGTCTCTTTAGATGGGTTTTTATGCTGTGAAGATGTTGAAAGGACAACAAAGGATTTAGCTAATATATAAACTTAATTGCTAAAGTGTTGGCAGGGTTTGAGAGCTTAGACTCCCAATTTTGAAAGATATTCTTCTGTGGGTAAAATGCTATTAAACAGCATTGCATGCTACAGAACAGTTGTTCATGAGGGGAAGAGTCCCATCAATGCAGCCAACTTCGCTGTTGCCTTATTTTGATAAATTGCCACAACCACTCCAGCCTTTAGCAGCCACCACCCTGATCAGTCAGCAGCCATCAACACTGAGGTAGGACCCCCGACTAGTAAAAAGATTATGACTCAGTTAAAAGTTCAGATGATAGTTAGCATTTTAAAAATATTTCTGAGTTTAAGTATGAACATTGATTTAAAAAAAAAAATGTTACTATTGTACATTTAATAGGCTACATTATGGTGTAAACACAAATTTATATACACTAGGAAAGCAAAAGATTCATTTGATTCTCTCTGTTGTGATACTTACTTCATTGCTGTGGTCTAGAACCAAACCCAAAGTATCTCTGAGGAACGCCTGTATTGAATTCAGTTTTTAGCCATGATTGATGGGGAAGTGTTAAAACCACAGTGGGTTATTTGCAGCAGTGTGCTGGCTGCTACACCCTTAATATCATCAAAATTTAAGTAGTGTTTATATGCATTACATAAATACATTCACAACCACAAATGCATTCTTTGAAAGAAATGCATTATTACAGTTAAGAAACTGACAGAAGCAGATCTTCAGGATTTCATGTATAATCATTGGGCTTTGTTAGTTTCTTTTCAAGTCTCCTTTCATGTTACTAACATTAAAAAAGAAACAAAACTACAGACGGATGACAAGACAAAGGTGTTGGCTTGGAGATGTATAAATCCGTAGCAAGGAAGGTAGTTTATGTAATACTTTCTGACAATACTATAGCTTGATATATTTAGGAACAGTTTAGTGATACAGAAGACCAACTCTTAGACAAAAAGGATAGCAAAGTAATTTTTGTTATAATTGGATGACCCCATTGATTTTTGTTAATATGACAGTGATATGAAGGCAGAACTTATTTTTCAGTTTCCTTACTGACAAACACATCTTACTCTGAATTATGTAAAACTTTGAAGAGTTAACAAATCAACAAACGTGGTTTGGAGTTTTGCTTTGCTTTTGTAGGATGGAATAGGTTCTGATTTTAGAGGGACGGTGACAAGAAAAACATGCTGGAACTTGTGCCATAATGAAAATCAATGTCCTGTTTCCTTCATTGAGAAAGCCTTGCCATGTCAGCTGAGCTAACAGTGTACAATCAGCTAAATTAATAGTAGTTCACTAAGTGTGAATTGTAATTTTTGAGATTAAAAAAAACCTGACAGTTTGGAAGCTGAGCTAGTCAACTGTTATTATATGCTAAGTTATATAATAATTTTCAAAGGGAAATTTTCAGACAAAAATACTTGAACTTTGGGATGAATGTGCTTCATGTTTTTGCAAGATAAGCAACCATTTTGGTCCCCAGCTTTTTAAATATGTGAATTAGACTTAGTTGCCTGAATAGCATTATTCTTTATTATTTTTTAAAAAAAAATTTTAACGTTTATTCATTTCTGAGAGGCAGAGACAGAGCATGAATGGGGAAGGAGCAGAGAGAGAGGGAGACACAGAATCAGAAGCAGGCTCCAGGCTCTGGGCTGTCCGCACAGAGCCTGATGTGGGCTCGAACTCATGAACCACAAGATCTTGCATGACATGACCTGAGCTGAAGTCGGATGCCCAACCGACTGAGCCACACAGGTGCCCCAGCATTATTCTTTTCTAAAAACGATCTTAGCCTTCCATGCAAGGAAAATGTGTCACATGTTTTTAATGTTCTAAAATATCATAGGACAAAAATGAAAGTTAGAAATTTTGAGAAAAAGTTTCCACAAATGGTTATGATGGATTTTACAGTATAGTAACAATTATCAGTAAAGTAGTTGGTGACTTTTGTAGTGCACATTTTATAAAATGTTAAAATCAAATACCTTACAAATTTGATAAGACACACTTGAATTTTGTTTTTTATCAAAAGAAAACCCTGGATAGGAAGTTAATAGATCAGGAATCCATTTTTTTTCATCAAAAGCTATTTCAGATTTAACTATAATTTTGATGGATAAATTACTGGTGTTAGCTACCAATGAAGGATTAAACTGAGTTTAAGAAGCTTCATTTTCTGGATTTTGAGTAAAAGTTAAAAATTAATATCTTGAGCTGAAATTGCTTTAAAATATCTTCTGTTGTTGTCAACATACATCTGTGAAACCAGGTTTCCTGTTATAAGTGCTATTAAAACACAGAAGTAGTTAAGATATATCTTGTCCCTTGTGGGTAGCATTGTCATCAATTTAACTGAGAATAGGTCAGTTAGCAATGTGGTAGCAAACTTCTGAGAAAGTTCCCAGGATGCCCTACCTCCCAGTATTTACATCTTTGTAATCCTCTTCCACACTGCAGTAGAAGGTTGTTGTGATAATATGTCACTTGTAAGATTAGGTCAGAGCAGATGGTGCAGTGTCTGCCTCTGTTGCCGTGTTCCTTTCTCTCTGGAAGCCAGGTGCCATGTGGTTAACAGCCCAGTGGAGAGGCCTACATACTGAGGAACTGAGGCTTTTGGTCAACAGCCAATAGGAAACTGAGGCCTTTTGCCATCTTCTATGTGAGTGAGTGTAAGGGCAAATTCTCTAGCCCAGTCAAGCCTTCAGATGACTATAGCCCTGACCAGAACCTCATAAAAGACCTTGAAACATATCCACCCAGCCAAACTGCTTCCAGATTTCTGACCAACAGAAATTGTGAGATAGTTAAGTATGTGTTGTTTTAAGCCATTAGATTTTAGTGTAATTTTAATGCAGTAATAGATAATACAAAAAACAGGCAACCTCACATTGCATTAAAAACTTTAAATATTAGCATATATGCTATTAGTTCAGAGACTGTAAATTGGTATTTAACATGATGAAGCGTTAGTTCACTCATCACTTTGGGTTAAATTAGAATTATGTAATGATGAAAGTTATTAGTGTGATAACTGTTTTCTGAGATTTCCTATATGCATACTTCCAATGAAAATACACATTTTTTGTGCTTCTTTTTTCTGTTCATTCTAAATATATTATTGAAATATAATTTTATGGGTGTGGCTAACAAAATATTGAACTTGGATTTTATATGACTTTTTCTTTCTTTTATTTTTCCACTAGTTCATTTTTATTTGATCTTATGAAAGTATTGGTCCATGATGGAATTTAAAAAAAAAGGAAAAACAAAGTGGTTTCTTATACTACAAATAGTCTTCATTAAGTCCCCTGTCATTGTTCTCCTAGGACCTCTGACACTTACTATGATGGTCATCTTGCTTAATTATAATCGGTTAGATTCCCTGTTAAACTGAAAGCTCTGTGAAAGGCAGAGGCCATGTCTTTGTTTGCTGTTACATCTTTAGTACCCAGAACAGTGTCTGGCACTTAGCAGCTACTCAGTAGATAGTGGTCAAAATATTAACTTCTAAAAAAAATTTTTCATTGTGTTGGGGTAATAATTAACTTCTTTAGTTGTAAATGAATTGGCTACTGTGACCATGTATTCTTGGGGAATGGTAATTATTTATGGTGAATAGAAAATATTCTTGGCATTCTTCTTGCTGATTGTTAGGTTCTTTTATAAAATACATCTTTTTATTTCCATAGCACAAGTACTGCCTCTGAAGAAGATGTCTCAACTAGATATCCCCGAACAGATAGGAGTGCGTTCAGCAGATATAATAGGGATACAAGTGCTTCAGGTAATTTGGTCTCAAGTAGCATGTTGGAAAAGAAAATTGAAGATCTTGAAAAGGTATGAATTACAAATTATTTGAGATTGATAAAATTAACATGCCATTGAGATTCCTTGTTTTACTTTCATAGCAACTGAGAAAATAATTTGAAATTTATATGAGACAGAGTGCCAACAAAGGGAAAAGAATGAGAGGCAGCAGTGGAAGATATCATTAGTGTTAGTTGGTATTTCCATATATATTCAAGTAGAAGCATTGAATCACTGTCATAAGTATTTTCTAGATGCATTAGTGGTTAGGCATTTTTTGATGCTCTTAGTACTTTCTTATTCAATGCTGTGGGTGTTAAAACTTTTAGAAATGGAGCCATTTTTTTTGCATTACTTAGTATTTAATTGATACTCCATTCTGCCAAGGGTTACCTCTGTATTAAAGACAGTCTGTCTTCAAAATGGCTCTAAGTCTGTGCAGACAATATATACTACTGTGTGTTTAGTTTATTATCTGTGCAGTGTATCATTTGTAGACTTTCTTCTGGGTTCTGGTTAAAGCCTAGAGCCATCTTTGCTGTTTGAAACAATTGTCAGAATAAATTTGTTTAGAAGTACCTTTAAAACAAGTCAGTTGAGGGGCACCTGGGTGGCTCAGTTGGTTAAGCGTCCGACTTCGGCTCAGGTCATGATCTCACGGTTCATGGGTTCGAGCCCTGCGTTGGGCTCTGTGCTGACAACTAGCTCGGAGCCTGGAGCCTGTGTTCAGATTCTGTATCTCCCTCTCTCTCTGACCCTTTCTTTCTCATGCTGTCACTCTCTCTCAGAAATAAATAAAACATTTAAAAAATTAAAAAAAAAAACAAAAAACAAGTCAGTTGAATATTTGTATAAATTTATTAACCATACGAGCTCAGTTTTTTTTGAGACATTTAATCCATAAAATTGGTAATGGTGCTGAATTACTTTCTGATTGTTGAAAATATGTTTTATTTTGCTGAATTGAATTATTCCCTGTGATATAAAGATTATTTTAAGTAGAAACTTAATGAAAAAAGTTAATAGGATTGTTTATAGTTCACATCTCAGTTTTGATATCAGTTTCTGTGGGTTTAAATGAAAAACTTTAAGGGGTGCCTGGAGTGGCTCAGTCGGTTAAACATCCCACTTTGGCCCAGGTCATGATCTCACTGTTTGTGGGTTCAAGCCCTGTGTTGGGTTCTGTGCTAACAGCTCAGAGCCTGGAGCCTGCTTTGGATTCTGTGTCTCCCTCTTTCTGCCCCTCCCCCACTTATACTCTGTCTCTGTCTCAAAAGTAAATAAACATTAAAAAAATAATAAATGAAAACTTTTAAGGAACATCTAGTCTAATAGGTTTCAAGAGTTTCTTGAGAAAGGCCTTTAAAGTTCCACAGGAGTTTGGATATAGTTGCTAGTATTTTGGCAGTAGCTGATTAATGAGGCTGGCTGGCTGCTTTTTCTAAGGGTTAGTAGGAAAGAAGTTAAATTCTCAGAAGCTTTTCAGTTCTGCTTTCCTTTTGTCCCTAAAGTAGTCAACCCAGCCCAAGGACCTGGATTCTAAATAACGTTTCGTTGAAAAAGGTTTTACATTGTTTGAAGGAAAAAAACCTTAAAAACCAGTCATCTATTTCAGGTCCTTTATTTTATACATTAATTGGTAGAGACACAAGTAAAATTGAGGACAGTTATTTTTCTGTTTAGAGTTTTCCATAAAACCGTTTCTTTTTCTTAAACTTTGTATTTTGGGGGCACCTGAGTCGCCTTTTGGTTTAAGTGTCTGACTTCAGCTCAGGTCATGATCTCGTGGCTCAGGAGTTTGAGCCCTGCATCCATCTCTGTGCTGCTGGTTCAGAGTCTGGAGCCTGTTTTAGATTCTGTCTCCCTCTCTTTCTGTCCCTCTCCAGTTCATGTTCTGTTGTCTCTCTTTCTCTCTCTCTTAGAAAATAAAATAAACAATAAAAAAATTTAAAACCCTTGTATTTCAAATAAAAAGTTTGAATTTCCTCAAACAGGGTATTATCCATTAAAAGAAAACAAGGTATTTCATTACTAAGGGTGGTGATAAATTAAGGAGGGTAAGTCATGGGGTTATTAGTGTGTGTTAAAGAGTGTGTAAATACAGATTTAATCAGAAATATACAACTCCTATATTCCTCTCATTCTTTGAATCTTTCCTGGATGGGTTATTCCATCCCTTAGCAAGTGACTTAAGAAATGCATTGGAAATCCTCATGTATCTAAAGCACTTCAACAAACTTGGCAGATAGATGTCATATAAGGTTATAAGGTTAAAAACATATGTATAAAGTTGAAAACAGCCAGTTATTTCCCAATTAATGCTTTGTAATTATATCTACCAGGAAGTAGTAAGAGAAAGGCAAGAAAACTTAAGACTTGTGAGACTAATGCAGGATAAAGAGGAAATGATCGGAAAACTCAAGGAAGAAATTGATTTGTTAAATAGAGTGAGTATTCATACATTTCAGTTTTATGGTTTCTTTTTTATTTTTCCTGGCAATTGTGATGAAATGCATATATATGAAAAGATTTTTTAAATTCACTATTTTGTTAATGACATGGTAATTTGTGGTAATAAGAACCATCATTTCATTCTGTAAACTGATTTCCTCTGGCTAATTATCAGTTGTATTCAGTTAATACTTTTCTTTTGGGGATAGACTGATGAACGGATTTGTTCAGTGTTTTGTTAGAGTCTGGAGGTGAGAGGCCGCTTGGTCACCACCACACATCAAAGGGTGTTGGCATAGAGTTGACTCAGTGAAGAATTGAACTTGCTACTTCTTGCCAGAAAAACTCCAGGTGTCTTTGTGTGTATTTTCACCACCTTTTTCCTCCAGTTATATTTAGGCATCTCTAACTTTAGGTTTAGTGTTACCTCAAGGTCTCAGTTAGTACCATTTGTTGCTTTTTCTTGTTTTCAGCCCTAGAATTTACTTTTTGCTTAAGAAGCAGGTATTAGTGCTAGGCCATACTTAGGTAATGGTGATAAGAAAAGATTCCATAGTTTTGCATTTTAGAAGGCTTTAGGTAAGATGGAGGAAAGAAATAAGTTTGCTTCAGGGAAAAAAGGAATAGATTCCTAATCAATCTTAACTCTAAACAATGAAAGAAGAGAAAATAAAGAGTCTTCATTATGCCTAAGACCCATTCTAATAAAGCTCTAAGGCATTACCTACAGGTGATAGATAGATGAGGACACTGAGAAACTTCAAGAGTTTAACTTGCTCAAAGTCATATGTAGTAATCACATAGTAATCAGCTGAGACAGTATTTGATAGCATGTGTCCCATAGTCCTAATTCTGAGTAAGCTCTTCCATTCTTGCAGACAGCCTTTCATCTTGGTTTAGAACACAGGCATTCGTCTGTTGGTTTTGGAATATGATTTAATAAAACCTGAAAATATTTTTGATGTCTGTGATATATCAGTATTGTCTTACAGGCACTGTGTATCTATTAAAAAGAATAATTAAGACACCTGCTGTTACAGAATTTATAATCTAGTAATAATATAGGGATGTATTTTATTATTTAATTCTAAATCTTAAGCAGGTCTCAGTTGTAGCAATTTCATGAATCCTGTATATTTATTGTTGTTTGCAACAGATAAGTTTCCCAATATTTTTGTTTAGTTTGTGAGTAAATACAGATTCTGTTTCTGCACATTTTAAAATCATTTATCTAATTGTCGCAAGGCAGTATACTGGATTTATTAGAATGCTGCTATCCAGTAGCACACTTATAAATTGATGGTTCCAAGTTTTAGATTTTTTAATTTCAAGGATAAATCTAATAATATGTGCCTTTACCACCATCAGTAATCATTCTGCCTTGAAGTTTCTTGTAATAAAAACTTAGAGTGGATTATCTTCATATTTACCAAATTGTTGTATACCTGGCACTAGGATTAATATAGAGAACATAGAACTGGAATCATATCACTTTAAAATGTGAGGGTGATTAGTTTAGTGTCTTTTATTATTTTTTTAAGCTCTAAAACTTTTTCCTCAAACAAAATATAGAGAAGTCTAACATGAATTGAACCAGATCAACTGTATATGCTCCAAAGCTCCTTTCCTGTGTGCCTCTGTTCTGTCGCCTCCCCACATTCCCACCCCCTAGAAGCATCCTTGTGAAAGATCTTAGAAGGTGGTAGGAGTACATTCAGAACTTGTACCTTGATCTTTTGCTGCCTCATTTGACACAGGCTGCAGTTGGAAGCCCTGAACCTTATATTGCCCACACATGTATTTTGTTAAGCCCTCAATTTGGGGGAAGAGGAGATATGTTTTTAACTAAAAAATTAAGCTGTTTATAATGATTAAAACTTGGAAGATTCACAGTTAAAAAGAATTCTGGTTTTTGGCTTCTCTTGATACACTGAAAAATCTGGCAAGAGATGATCCATGTTCTCATGATAACAAGGAGAAGGAGTTGAGTTAGTGGGTCCTGCCATCAGGTGGGGCATATTCCATCTAAAGTTGTTTTCAGAACTTACCCTTGTTTCCAAAGTAAATGCTTGTATGAATTTTCTTAAGTGCTTTTTTATCACCTTTAGAATATTTTAAGTGTTTAAAAAACTCATATATTATTTTCTTTCTTGTTTCCTTAAGGACCTAGATGACATAGAAGATGAAAATGAACAACTAAAGCAAGAAAATAAAACTCTTTTGAAAGTTGTTGGTCAGCTAACAAGGTAGAAGATTCAAGTCCCAGTGTGGAAAAAATATTTTAAAACTACTGATTGAATGTTATGGTTAATGCTAGGATAATATTCCTATGCTGCAATACATTAAGTATGTATATTTATTTCTAGAAAACAATGGGTGTTTATTTTCAAAACTTTTTCATTATTTCATAAAAGTATCAACCCTCAATTTCACAATTAAGTAACATCTTTCAATTATTAAAATGATATTGTGTGGTATTCAAATAATATATGGTTTAAAGTCACAACCATTTGAATATATTTTGTCTGTGGTAGTGTGTTTTCTCCCTAAAGGAATATACATAGTTTTTGTTTACATGAATTCAAATACTTTTGGGGAGTTACCTGCAAATGCCTTATTACTGATATGTGCAAACTTTTATGTGTTGTTGATTTACTCATAAATGCTTCGTCTGTTGTCATTTATTCTTTCAATTTACTCTCTTAGAGTAATAGTGTCACACCATTTTGTGTAACAGTCATCTTTAAAAAGGAAAGCTATTATGAAAAGTCACTTAATATCATGACTAGTTGGCTAAAGAAAAAATGTAAGAGAATATTTGAATTGTGCTACAGGAAATTTAAATATACAATTTTGTATTTGAATATTGAAAAAAATTTAAATCACTTCTGAAAAACATACAATTGTAATTTCTTTGTAAAATTTCTTGGGTAGGTCCTACCTTTTTTATTATTCCAAGGTTTATAAGTGAACATGGGATATTTAAAAAGTTGTTTATTCATCATTCCTGGAGATTATGTACAATTTCAATGTATAAAAAAGAATCCACATTTTAAATTATCATTTGTGTTAAATAATAAACCAGTATTTATCCACAAAAACATTTATACTTACATTTACAAAACAGTACATAAACAAAAATAATACCAAAATACTTTCCTTATTTCTAATGTGGAGAATAACACTGTGATACAGTGTTCTCATGTGAAAAAATTATTCCCCTACCTCAAATTTAAGGGATTTAAAAATTTTTCCCAACATTGGATTTTTAAAAACAATTTTTAAAAATTTTGAAGAATTATACAAATTTTCTATTAAATAATAATATTTAGAGTTGTTTTATATTATATCCTCATGTTGAGTAAGGAAACCCCCTCTTTTAAGTACATTAACATTAAGAAATGTCTGTCTGATAGCTGAATTGTAAACAGTATGCAGATAACCTTTTGTCCAGTTCAACATAGTAAAATCCATTTTGGGTACCCTGCTGACTCATTTTCTTCACTTGCCAAGTTCCTTCATTATTGGCTATTATAAAAATAGGGAAGTGAAACAGTTGGAAAAATGTAGAGTAAATTTTGAATTTTAAAACTCTTTGTGGTTACCTAGATTGGCTTCTCGCTTCAGAAGTTTCAACCTTGGCTAATCATCAGGATCACTTGGGTTGCTTACAAAGAATTCCCTGGCTATAATTTCTAGCTAGATTTAGGTTGAGAGCCTGGACAGAATTTTTAAAGCTCACCATCTGGTGATTCTGATCATAACCTAGGTTTGGAAGTAGCTGCTGTCCATATCCTGTTATCTTCCACTGAGACCCTAGAATTAACATATGTTAGCTACTAGCATTTTGTTCCCTTTTAGTTTATTTAATAATTTATCTGGCCCCTGGGGAAGTTTTCATAGGTCTATATATATTTACCAAAAAGGTCAATGTTAGATTACCAAACTTGGTATAGTTGCAGAATTACTGCATAAGGACATCATTTTTGGAGAACGTTATCCAGCCTGGGAACAGCAACCTGCTGCCCACATGTACACCAAGCTCAGTCCCTGCCTTGGCTGTGAGGCACTCCTCTCCCTTCAGTTCCCCTTAGGTATGTGGCAGAAATATTGGTATTACTTAGTTTTGCATCCAAGTTTTGGATGTTGTGAAAATGTCAGTATCACCTTAAAATATATTAGTGTGCTGGTTTTTCAGTAAAGTATTTAAAATTTCTGTTTAGTCCTTATGTAAGTAAAGGAATATTTCATTTCCCTTTTTAAACTTATACCAGTTATTGATGTTTTTAAATACTGAGCTATTTAAAAATTTTTCCTTTTCTTCATTTTATTGGGAAAATTTCCAACAATGATATTTTACATAGTGGTACCAAGTACAAACACAAGAAGAGCTCGACAGCTTAGGCAAAACAATTCACATGCAGTCCTTCATCCTGTCCTTAAAATGTATATTTATATCACATATAGATTTTACACTGAATAGTGAAAAATTAAATAGGATCAGCTACAATTTCATTTTTAAAATTTATAAAAAGCATTGAGATTAAACAAAAGCATTGAGATTTAAAAAAGGTAACTTTAAATACATGTGCACTACTTTAGAAAACTTGGCTGTTGTCATTAAAGTGCTAGTATTTGTGAAATTATTAGTTCCATCCAGAAATTATATTTCTTCTATTTCCTGGGAATTTATGGCATAATAAAGCATATTCAAAGTTTAATGTGTTTATGATATTATTTTTCAAAACAGTAAGTTTATTAACTAAAATAAACACGAGTCCTCTCCCTGATTTCTGACATGCATTAAGATTTACAAAGTATTCTCCATTTCATTTTCCTAAAATTGTCATTAATTTTATTGCAGTACAGTTGCCTTTAGAGGGGAAAAGGGTGACATTTTGTGTGTTTCTAAGGGAATTTACTAAATCTAGAGGTTAGCACTGTCACACCGGCTCAAGTAGTTTAAAACAGAAAATTAAGTATCAGGGGCAGATACATGAAGCAATGTATTCTCTTTATTTTAAAGTAAATTTCTAATTGTGGTTAAAGCAATGTATTCTTTAGGTGAAAAACCTACCTCAATTACAAGTTGGTTTATGTTTTCATGATTAATCTGGATTTTTATAATTAGAAATTAAGATGTAACATTTTGAGTCCACTAATATTTTCTTGAAAACAGTACAAGTTAGTATAATAGACAAATCCATACGATTGTTCAACACTGTAATACAAAACAGGAACTTTGGGTTTGATCATTGATCTGGTGTTCTAGACAATACTCCTATGTACAGTGATAGTCCTCTTTCATCTTTTTTATAGCTTTATAATATTGAGTCAGTGCCTAGTAAGCTCCATGTACTATTGGCACTTATTTAATAACTGTTCATGGTTTTGTTAATAGCTTGTTACAAGTTCCAGGCATATATTTTCATTTGTAATATAAGAAACCAAACACATCAGCTTTTCATTGGGAGCAGTATTAAGAGAAAGAACTAGCATTCAGGAATCAGAACTTTAAAATAACATGTTAAAGTCAGTGCTAAACATTCTTGTTGTATCTGAACCATTCCTAATATGTAACAGTAAACTTGACTTCCTTTGCTTTGGAACTGTGCTCACTCTCTTAAGGAAAGGGCATCCATCAGCCAGGATTGTAATTTGTGTTAGTTGTCTGAGAATTAGTGCCACTTTTGTTGTCCTATTAAACTGAAAGCATAAGACCAATAGACAACAAACGTCTTGCTCTTCAGGTGCCTTCCCTCCTTTTGTTAAACTTCTCATTAATGTATAGAAGTTGGCTGTTTCATTCTCAGTATTAAGACTTGAAAAACTACCCAAGAAAACCTGAGCCCATATTGTTTTTTTTTATTTTACTTGGCTAGACTCTCACTACATGTTAAAATCATATCCCCATTCTAAAAGTAATTACATGTGAGTATGTGAGAGGAATATGGACTAGGAATATAAATACATTAAATTTTCATATCTGTCCTTTTAGCAAGTATTTATTAGTTTACTCAGTATATCATTACAGTTATTATAGAGGTTTTAAAAAAGGGACATGGACCAGCCCTTCCATTTAGCAGTGTACAATCTATGTAGTATGTGTCAGTAGCACAAAATGCAATCTTAATTAGGATTAGTTGGTTTATTATAAATAGTTCATTCAAAAGTATATTTTTTCATATTAATTATCTAGCCATTGTCTTTTAGGTCTAGTTAATAGGTACCATTTAATTTGCTGCTGCATTTACTGAATGGTGGAGTGGAAGACCTGATGCATGTTGGGAAATATCTTACCATATTTAATTTAGGTAATTATGCTTTATGAAAAGAACATTGTTAAGAAACTTATAGCAGTAATGAAGTAGAAAGACTTCAGTATGTTTCAGATACACCAATCTGTTAATGGTATTCTGTCTGTACATTATTGATTATTGGTTGTTTTAATGTATTTACATCTAATAGTTCACATACAGGTACATATTGCTTTGGTAATAATAGAATGTTAATGATGATCACTTGATGGACGTGTATTATGTGCCTGTTTTGTTTTGAATCCCTCTCTGGATACCTAATAGATGTATATTACTTTTTTTGGTGAACTTGTTTCTTGAAAGATATGGCTATTTTGTTCAGGGTTTTTATTAAGTTTAAGAATTGGATGGCTGCTATCAACAGCAAAAACCATATGAAAACTAAAATTTGTTTTGGTGAAAAATCAATTAATTCAGGTAAATAACATTTGAGGAAAACACCTGAATAATTTATTGACCACATTATTATTGTGTAGGGAGCTTTCATAATTCCCATTGCATAGATTTTATTATGCAGTAGTCAGTGATATAGATTCATTCTTAATATGCTTTGCATGTAAAATAACAAATAATAGAAAAATAAGTTTTCATTTATTTTTCAACACTGAGTAATTATGTTTTTCTTCCTGAACTATCAGTAAAACTTGACCATCAGTTTTACTTTTGAAGTTAAGGGATAATGCAGATATTCTAACTAACCTTGTGTGCCTTTTACTGAGGGTATGCAGTACTTTTAAGTCTTTAGTATATAAAATGAAACAAAAATGCAGTGTTTGTAAGATCTGTATACATTAATGGTGGGACTTCCTGAATAAGTGAGGAAGTGTACAAATGTTCAGTCTGAGCATTTTTAATTGTCTTTGTGTTTTAAAACTACATGAGTAATTTCTTAATTCAAAATTGGAGCTTATCCCAACTAAGTCTGATGGTGTTCAAAGAATTTCAGGCCCTTCGTAGTTTGAAAAAGATAAGTAGGGGTCTGGGAATGTAAAAATCAGGTCTTTGTTTTTTGAGTAAATGGTTTACATAACCTTTTGCTACTGTGTCATTCTTCATACACCTGCACAAGCTAATCAGTCTTCTTTACTTCTAGAACTCTAAATTAATCTTCTCAGTAATGTCATACATGTCTAACAAGTGAACAAGCATCCTTCAGTCAGACTGTTTATATAATGTCTCAAGTCCTTATATTAGCTGTATACTATCCATATACTAATCTCATGCATCTGGTTTCTCTTTTCACCTCTACAAGAGGTTGCCTTTTCTTACTGGCCAATTTCTTGGAAAGAATTTATGTCATGTTGGATGTTTATGTTAAAGAGACAGGATTGGTTACAATATCCTTCACAATCCACTCATTTTATTTTGATATCTAACTACATAAGGTTAAAAAGGAAGCTAGAAGTCACTCTTTTTAATACTGGACCAAATGCAAAATGCACAGTTTTACTCTTCACTTTCAAAAAACTTGTGTGGCTAAATAAAGATGCATTTAATAAAGGAAGAAGTCTCTACTTGGTATCAATTGGGTGAGCAATATGAAAAAATTAATATGAACCAGTTAATAAGGTAGATTGGACTTTGACTTTATACATGTGAAAGAAAAGCAAAATAAGAATTTTGTGTTATTCAAGTTAAAATGTGCAGAATTATCCAGTATAAGTTGATAGTCTTAATCCGTATATAATCAGTTGCTTCTCCTGTTTAGATATATATATCATGGGACATGAAATTCACAATCCTTATGTTACAGGTTTATATCTAAAGAAATATTTGCATTCCTGTAAAATGTGAGCTATTTACTGTGGTAAACAAAGATACATGATGTCATCTATGGACATTTTAGCTTTATGGAAACAAATTATTAAGAAACATTAATAGAAAGGCATCTGATTTATTTTATTATTCTTGTAGTGCAAGAGTATAACCAAAGCTATCAGTCAGAGCCATAGGAAATTCCATTTTTTTGAAGAACCTGAAAATCACTTTTGGTAAGAATGCATTTATTTGATATGTAGTGTTAAGGAAAGTTGGAAAATTATTAGTTTTCCATAGTAAATTGAAAGTTTCATGTGTGGATGATTGAGGACAATGAACAACATCAGTAATTTAAAGTAAAATTAATGCCAGTAACTGTCACATTAACTGCACTCTTTAAAGTGAATGGTGAAAATTGTAATGGGATGAATGAATGGACATTTTGGAAATGCTAATTGATAGTCATAGGGGGCCTAAAAGTGCCTTTTGTTTTTTGCAGTTCCTTTAAGATCAGTGTACTGCTTAAGGCTTAAGAGGTTCAGTTAAGCATAGTGACTCACTTAGTTAACAATTTGAGCACAACTGTAACCCTAAGGTAGAATAGCATAAGAACATTAAGTAATTAGTAATTCAGTAGCTCTGTTTGCCAGGCATTGTGCTAAGTGCTATAATACTTTTTTATTCGATTCTTTAAAACTTGTGCAAGGTACAGATTGGGAAGAGTAATTTGCTCAAAGTCACAAAGCAGTGCTTTGTGCTTATGCTATGACATACTCACTTTTATGATGTAATCATTGCCCTATTAAATATTTTGCCAGTGGTTCTCAAAGTGTGGTCCCCATACTAGTAGCATTGGCTTCACTTAGAAACCTATTAGAAAGAGAAATTCCCAACATCTGAATGAGGTGAGGCCCAGCAATCTATGCTTTAACAGGCCCTTCAAGTAATTCTGACGCAGGTCAAAACTTGCAACTATGCATTGTGCATTTCTATTTTTAAGTAAAGATCTGGGGAGTTTGTTTTTGGACATTATATAAAATAACATGAACTTGTTTAAAAAGGAAAAAAAGGAATTGTTTCACTGTTGCTTACATTGCAAAAGACTGTATCAGGAAAAGCCCCGGCATGGATATTGGCAGCTGAAATAACTGCATTAGTTTAGTGTTATCTCTGGAACTCAAATGGATTCTTAAGTCCAAGAGGCTGTGGAATGAAATCTTTGTTTTACTGTGTTAAACTCCATCTGTTATTGCCTAAAGGTTTTTGGTAACAATAATGCATTTTTTTCAAATTTTAAAACTTTATTGGATCAAATAAATGTTATGTTTCATCACTTATAGTTTTGTTTTTCTTGGTTTTGTCCTTTTTTTCTATGTGTGGACCCTGTGGAGTGGCATATGGGGAGGTTGAATCTTCGAAGTTTACTCTCTGTGACCTCAGAAAATCAGTAGCATTTCTAGCCAGTCGATCAGTGAGGAGAAATCAAGTGTTGCATCCCAATGAGTAAATAAAAAATTTAAAGTCTATATTTACTGATTTAGAATCATTTTTTTTACATGATGAGATAGTTTATTATTTTTAATTATTTGTTTCTGCTTTTTAAATACTTAAGAGTAATTTTAGATTACAGAATTACTATGAAGGTA